CACCAGCCACTCCTTGAAAGGAAGACTGGGCAATCTACTTCCATAAAGATCGATGGCTGAGTTTTGGAGAGGTGAACAGCGAGAACAAAGCACTCTGCCTTTTTGATTCTTTGACAACACCAGCTGGGAGTGAGATGATGGGGCTGCTAAGTCCACCTCATCCTCCATGCTCAGAGAACCATGCCCTCAGAGGTGATCCATTTTACAAATAAAGAAACAGACTCAAGGAGAAGTGACTTGCCCAATGACTCTTCTGAATCCCAGTCCAATGTTGTTCTTTCCCCAAACTTTGTCATGCCCTCAGGGAATGATTTTGAAAAGGAGGTAGAGGCTGAAGTGGGAAGAACATTTACCTTTCTTAACCCTCAGTCAAGGGATGGCTTCCTACCAGGTCACAATCAGGACATTGCTTTTCGGTGGCAAAGGACTCGTGCTGTTAGGGGCTTTGCTACATGTCAGGCATTATGTTAGACACTTCACAGATATGATCTCATTTAATTCCCACAGTTCTCTGAAGTACATACTGTTATCCCACTTCATAGATGGGAAACTTGAGCTCAGAAAGTTAACCACCATAGGGAAAAGGAAAGGCAAGGCAAATGGAGTTTGGCACCTATCCTGAGGGTGATGTGATGATGATCAGTATTTCCCACAGTGATGGGAATGTCTTCATCCTCAGCCCATTTTCTCCCTCCCCCATTCTTCTTTCCTCACCAACCTCTGACCTCTCTAAGCCCAGGAGATGGGTTTGGTTTCATTTGGTACCTCTCTTGGAGGTCTCTTCAGCCAAACACTGGGCCAAAGGAACACTACCTCTGGGGGATTCCTATGGCCAGGTCAGATACCTCTTGACCAGCCACACCTGTATGTGCCTGGTGGCCTACCTGCCTGGCCCTCCCTTTGCAGAGCTCTTCTGAGCAGTGCCAACCAACCCCAGGCCATCAGGGTGGCAGCTGCTATTAGTCTGGACAGGGAGGGGGTCCCCAGCTCTAACTGATAGATTCTTGGCTCTGAAATATCCCTGGAGGACTCCGGCTTCTTTGTTACTCAAGCTACTGCAGTGGTGAAAGCCCAAGAACATGAGAAAAAGGCCATAGCTTTTCTTTCTGATTCCTCTTAGGAAATACAGCTTCTTTGTCAAGAGCTCTCGGGCTTTGGTGGCTTCGTAGAACTTGCCAGAGGTGGGTAAGTTGGAGCCTCTTCAGCTGTAGGCCAGAGGCTGAGCTAACCTGGCAAAGAGGTGGAGTATTAGAGTTCCAATTTCTGGTATAGGGAATAAAGTTGGGACAGAAATAAGAGTTGGAGGTAACTTTGCTTCTTGAGGCAGAGGCAGTAGATCACCTCATACCTAGCTGGACAAAGACATCTGCTGGCTTTACTTTGGGGGACATTGTGGCCTGCTCAGGAAGGCCTATTCTGTGCCTCCATGTCCAATCCTGGCAAAAAAACAATGCTCTAGGCCAGGGGTTGGCAATCTGTGGCCCATAGGCCAAATTCAGCCTGTTGCCTGTTTTTGTAAGGACAGTTTTATTAGAACTAAGCCACCTTCATTTGTCTATGTATTGTCTATGGCTTCTTTCATGCTGCAATAGCAGAGACCATGTGCCCTGTAAAGCCTACAATATTTACCATCTGAATCTTTACAGAAGAAGTTTACTGATCCTTGCTCTAGACCTCCAAAGACCTGGCATCCTGTTTCTCAAGTTTAGAGAGACCCCCTGGACTAAGTGGATAAGCCTGACCTAGATGGCAGTGCTATGAAAACAAAATTGAGAAGTGAGGGGAGATAGATGCTGAGGATGGCTGGACACCCCACACAGAGCTGGAGGGCTGCCTGGTACCACAAGTGAAAGAGAACTGTTCCCTGATCCTATCTTTCCTACCCTGCCCCATCCTGCTTTAGCTCTCCCCAGCATGGCCAACAAAGGTCCTTCCTATGGCATGAGCCGAGAAGTGCAATCCAAAATCGAGAAGAAGTACGATGAGGAGCTGGAGGAGCGGTTGGTAGAGTGGATCATAATGCAGTGTGGCCCTGATGTGGGTCGCCCAGACCGTGGGCGCCTGGGCTTCCAGGTCTGGTTGAAGAATGGTGTGGTAAGTAGTACCCTGAGAAGGAGGGCTGGGGCTGTAAAATCCTGCCAGAGTCCAGGGAGGAGGCACCCAGTGCTAAGTGCAAGCTATGTTTCATACTTGGCAGATTCTGAGCAAGCTGGTGAACAGCCTCTATCCTGATGGCTCCAAGCCAGTGAAGGTGCCTGAGAACCCACCCTCCATGGTCTTCAAGCAGATGGAGCAGGTGGCTCAGTTCCTGAAGGCAGCTGAGGACTATGGGGTCACCAAGACTGACATGTTCCAGACTGTTGACCTCTTTGAAGGTACAAGAAAGAAGAGGGGCTGAGGGTAACGGAGACAAATGGATAGGAAGCTGAAGCAGGGAAAGAGAATGATCAAAATATGGCATAATGAGGGGGTCTTTTAGTCTGTGTGCATAGCAGGAATGGGATATGCCAAGAGAATACCACAGCACACTCACAAGGGCATACTATAGGACCTATTTGAAGCCTCCTTTGATTCTGGCTTTTGCCCCTGGTTTGGCCATTTTCAGTTAGAGATGGAGGCAAGCCCTGGCTTAGAGTTTTGTTCACAAAGTCCTGAAGTTCATCCTGCCTTCCCTCTTCCTTCTCACAGGCAAAGACCTGGCAGCTGTGCAGAGGACCCTCATGGCTTTGGGCAGCTTGGCAGTGACCAAGAATGATGGGCACTACCGTGGAGATCCCAATTGGTTCATGAAGTATGTGGGCCCCAGTGATTCTTTGCACTCTAGGCTTTGATCTCTGCATCGTGGTGGCAGATGGCTTGGCTAACCAGATTGTGGGAATGATATGGGGAAGCAGATAACCAGGAAAATAGGAAACAGAGAACTAGAATGAGAGGGAAATGGGTCCCTAATATTTCTTATTTCCTTCCTTTCTACCTTCCTGTGTTTAATCAGTGTGCCTAGCCTATGGGCAAGCTAGATTGAGAAAAGAGAAGTGAAACAGGAAGGGAATGGGATTGGGATAGGAAATAACAGAGGAATCAGAAAGCAGGTGGAAAACATGGAGTCCTGGCAAGTCTTTTTCCTGGTTCCTCTTCTTCTAGGAAAGCCCAAGAGCATAAGAGGGAATTCACAGAGAGCCAACTGCAGGAGGGCAAGCATGTCATTGGTCTACAGATGGGCAGCAACAGAGGGGCCTCCCAGGCCGGCATGACAGGCTACGGACGACCTCGGCAGATCATCAGTTAGAGGGTTGAGGGCCAGCCCTGAGCCCTGCTCTTCCTCAGCTCATTGGCTGCAGCCAACCCGCCTAGCCTGCCTCACCCACACCTGTGTAGTTCCTGTAGCCTTGGCCAAGCTTTGAGGCTCTGTCACTGAGCAAAGGTGACTGCACATGGGCAGCTCTCTCCCACCCCTCAGCCTCAGCCCAACTCCTTACCCTATAGCACCACTGCCCTGGCCAGCCCCTCTCCTAACCCCATCCCACCCCTACCATCTCTCTCCATCCTGGGCTAAGCAGGGGGGACATGGGCTTGGAGTAGCCTGTGTATGGGCAAGTCCACTATCTCCTTGGCAGCAAATGTCTATTGAAGGAGACCCAGCCTAACCTCCGCCTACCCATTTTTTTTTTCTTTTTTTGCTGGAATATTTTTGGGGTTGAAATTCAAAAAGGAAAAAAATATACATCTATCTTTTCTCAGGCCTGGCTGGCAGAGTTTGATTTGCACCACTCACTTTCCTCATGGTTCCCAAAAATCAGAGCAGGGAAAATGCAGGCATCTTGAATTTCTGATGTTCCTGGCTGCCATCCTCTGAAGGATCCTTCACATTCCAGGAGTCCAGGAGGCCAAAGAGGAATAGCTTAGCAATTTGCATTAGATTTGAGGAGGCAGAGGAAAGGAGAGACAGAAAGTGGACAAAATAGTTTGGAAGGTTTTTATTTTGGAAAAGCTGTGCAGAAAAAAAATTCAACAAAATGTTGCTTGTGAAAAGAGAAAAACAAATCTAAAGCACTAAAAATATGCAAATTAACTAGTTCAGAAGAGGGGAGGAAGCCAAGAATGGAAGGAAGAGTCACAACCTGTCAGGTAGACAGCTGGCCTCCGGGAGGGAAGGCCATTTCCCTGAGCACTTTGCAGAGGAAGACAGAGTGGTCGCAGGGCTAAAGGGGCAGTGGCTCCCAAGGTTGTCCTCTAAAATACATCTGACACTGGTTCCGTAATCTTACCACGGACTTCCCTAATGATACAAACCAGGCCCAGTGGGCCCGGTCCATCCCCAGCCTTGCCAGGAGCATCGTACCAATCCTTCAGAAGTAGAGTGGGGGATGAATCTTGGAGGCAGCTGCTTTCAGGGCAAGTATGCTGGGCTGAGGCCTGATTGCCTTGCCAACAAGTCCAAGGTCCAAGTCTTAAGCAGGAAGGTGAGGGAGAGATAGCATACATCAGCTGTTTCTGGGCCCTAAGTCAATAAAAGGATAGGCCATGTCCAGGGGTTCCACCCCTAAGCCTTCACTCCCGAGCTCTCTTTCCAAGTTTCTGTTGAGGTGCTTTTCTGGCCATGGCAGGCACTTTTTCACTCATGCATGAATGGGAGTCCCTATGACCCACACCACTGGCTTGTCCCCCAGAAATGAGGATGGAGGCCTGCCTGCCCAACTGGGGGCCAATCCCTTGTCGAAGACCTTTGCACCAAAAGCTTCTTCAGCCGGAGGAAGATCCTGTGGCTCTTGCTGAACTATTCTCTATCACCATTCCTCTTCCACTTGTACCTTAAGAAGACCCTCACCCTCCCTGAGCAGAGTTAAAGGATGTACTTTAGGCCTTGGGATTCCAGATGTGAACATCAGGACTGCTTTATCCCCAGAGTTCCCAATTAGGTCTGGGAGCTGGGACCACTTTCAGGCTTCCTCAGTTTTGGGAAGGAAGAACCTATCCCACCTTGAATCTGTCTGGCCCTGAGGTCAGCAAATCTGCTGCTCCTTCTGTAACAGGTCTGGGGATAGGTGCTGATGAGAGGAATCCAGGGCACTCTTGATGTTGTGGGATAGGCTCCAGTTCGCTTGATCCAGTAGGTCTGGAGCAAGGGGACCAGAGGTGCTGGGAAGGCCCCCACCCTCTGACTCCACTTCATCGGGCTCCTTGCTGGTACAAAGTGGCAATGATTCAAGCTCTGTCCCCTCTTCCCTGGCTTTTCGGTGCCATTGGGGCCAGTGGCAGGGTCTGCTCCTACAAACCGGGTCAGAGTTCACATTCCTCTGGCTCAAGTACACTTCCAGCATGTAGTAAATAGTCCAAAAGATGGTAAAACAGCCTACCAGCACCAGGGTCTGGGGAGAATTCAAACACTTATGTTAGGGACTCTTTCCCAAAGCCCTGAGCCTTTCTTATCCCAGAACAATGAACTCAGGAAGACTTTCTCCTTCAGGGGGCTACTTTACTTCTTTTCTCCCCACAACAAGGATACCCTCCCTCTCAGTAGAGTAGGAGCAATGTCACAAAAGCAAAGCATCCTTAGGACCCAGATTGTCCCAATCCCTCATTCCCCAAGTTACCCTAAGTATCACACCAAGGACTAAACCTCCAGGCCATTCCCACCTGCATGTAGCTAAGTCTTGGCCCTCGTACCTTGAGGGTGTTAGGGGTGATAGTGTAACCATCCTCCTCAGGAATTTTCAGCCCAGGTGGGCAGGGCAGAGAGAAGCCATCATGTAGGTATTTTCCACTCATGGCACTTTCTAACAGCCTGTGGAGAAGAAAAAGGGACGATAACCTATTCAACGTGGTTGCTATACCATCTGTTCTCACCCATCTTCCTACCTGATAGCTGAAGAGGGGGAAGTCCCACAGAAAGAAGGGGAGGAACACACTCTGGATTTCCTCTGGGTTCTACCTACTGGCTTGAGTCTGGAGCTGGGAAGCACAGCTGGGGTTGAGAGGGAGTGGGGCATCCTAGCTGGCCTCTTTCTTCCCACCAATCCCCATTAAGTTGCCTTCTCTCTGACACATGCAGCTACACTTACCTCTGTCTGTCCCTGATGTCTACCGCACTCCACACAGAGCCAAATAGGGTCAGCTGCCACTGCCAAAGGATGCCGACCTGGAGTGGCTCATCTCCTAGGGCAGCAAAGGGGGCCGTTCCTGAGCCGTGCCCCTCTGTTGGCCAAACAGCAGAGGCCCTGCCTGCCCCACCATCCATCCAAAGGGACTCAGACTACATGGTCTGCTGTAGTTGTCTAACTGTGTTCCACCGACCCCAGAGTGCTGCAGAAGAACCTCAGAGGGTGCCCTTAGGGATGGAAAGGGGGAGGTTGAAAGGTGGTACTCCTAGTCCCCGAGTAGAGTTTTGCTTTTATCTTTCATATTTTTCAGTTTTAGCTTGAAAGAAAGAAAAGTCCTTCTACTAAATCAAGGAACACTTTGCAAACCATCAATCTGGTGAATACCTAAACTGACTAGAAATTAGGATGCTGAGGTTCAATTTCTAGTTTCTTCATTGATCTACCATGTGACTTTACCTAAGTCACTTCAAACCTCTGGCCTCTGTTTTTTCAAAAAATGGTGAAAATGAGTCCTGTCCTTACCTGCCTCCAAGGGCTGGTTAAAGGATGATTACATGTGAAAGGCCTTGCCATGTGATTTCTACAAGAAATTTGTTGCTAAATGGATCAGGCGCTTCTCCAAGGAACATAAGAGGTGGTATGAATGAACAGCTTCAGATACTAATGCCCATTTTTCGGATGGGGTATACTTTTTGGCATCTGCCCTATGTATTCCACATGGGAAATGCAACCATTTCTCTGGGGACTCTGAGATCCAGAGCAACAGATGACAGTCATGAAAGGCAGGGCCATGGTGGAGGCTCACCTACATCCCTGATAACGAGTCTGTAAGTCCCTTTTGCCCTTTCCCCCCAGCATCGCACAGTGGAGAAAGTCCAATCATTGAAGCCATTGGGATCCCTAGGGAAAGAACAAAATAGAAAACTTGGTAGGCATGGTATAAGGAACTAATTCTTTCTCCAGAAAACATAATTTTTTCATCATAAAGCCAGGAAAATGTAGCAGTTGTTGCCTGACAACAATCATTTGGACTGTTCCATGAGTGATCCTCAAGTGTTGTCCCCTTGTCCCTGGGATCTTATAGAATGAGAGTCAATGTGGCATAGTGGAAAGGCAAAAGTAGACAGAGCACAAGCTTTGGAGTAAGAAAGATTTGGATTTATATTTACTTCTCAGCCACTTACTAGCTCTGTGACTCATCTCCTCAGTTTCCTTATCTGTAAAAGGAGATTATAAAGTCTACTCTTCAAGGCTCTAATCAAGATTAGAGAAACCACGTAAAGTGCAGTGCCTAACATAAGAGGAAGCACTGTGCTTTATTTAAAGCATGCCACAAATGGTTTCCAGCTGTTAAAGATAGCCAGTGCAGTGACAGCTTAGGACAGTGTCAGTATCCAATTTTCTCATATATTTTCCTTGGAAGGGCCCTTGTTGCAGGTGTACTTACGAGTCCATGCTGCGGGGAGCACCAATAAGGGACATCATGCCACTGGGGCAAAATAGTTTCAGTTCCAAGCTGCCACGTCGTGGATGAGTGATGGAGACTGTCACTGCCACATGCTCCAGGGTCTTCAGCCCTGACATCTCCAGGTCCGTCCTGCTGACTGTGGGAAGTCAGTCTGGGCAGCTGGGAAACCAGCCCCATAAAAACTCATGCCCTCACTTCATCTTAACATATGCAAAGGCACACACTCAAAGACACCATCATTGGAGCCACATACAAATATCTATGGCAACCCTAGATATCCCACATGGAAACTGGGACTGAGTGCCAGTAGATGGAAGGCAGCTGCTCTCAAGGAGTTTGCAATCTAGTTTACAATCTAATTGGGAAGACAACACACACCCAAGACATAACATAAGAACCAAAGACAGCAACTTTAAACATTCATTCATCCAAAAAATAATTTACTGAATACCTACTATATTTCAGGCACTGCACTAGATGTTAGGAATGGAAAAAGTAAGTTGGACATGGGTGCCTGCCTTCTACCTGCAAGTACAAAATGCTGTGGTATGAGGCATACACAACGATAAGGAAACAGATAAATCAGATAGGTTTAGGCATATAGCAGTGAGTCACATCCTAAAGAAGGAAATGAATACAGCTTGGCAGAGGGCATTCGAGAAGGGGAACATGGTATGTACAAAGGAAAAGGTGGAAATGAACACATCTCATATTGAAGACAACACAAGATTAATTTTTAAAAAAACTACTTAAGTGGATAAATCTCAAGAAACTATGCTGAGTGAAAAAAATTAATCTCAAAAAGATTCATACTACACCATTCCGTTTATGTAACATCCATGAAATTAACATAAATGTAGAGATGGCGAACAGATGAGTGGTTGCAGGGTTAGGAATGGAGGAAAGGAGTGGATGTGGCCATAAAGGAGTAACACAAGGGAGTCTTGTGATGATGGGATAGCTCTGTACCTTGACTAGGGTGGTGGTGGTGGTTATACAAGGCTATATGTGTGTTAAAACTGCACACAGCTACACATGCACACACAAACGAGTACATGTATAACGTAAACTCTGAATAAACTCTATGGATTGCACCAATGCCAATTTCTCAGTTTTGATATTGTACTATAGTTGTGGAAGACATTAACATTGGGAGAAGCTGGGGGAACGGTGCACATGACTTTCCTGTACATTACTTTGGAACTTCTTGTGAATGTATAATTATGGCAAAATAAAAAGTTTTTAAAAAAGAAAACTTACTGAAGTGGAAGACTCATTTGGGGAATATTAAGACATTAGTTTCTAATGTTGAATTATTCTTTCGAAAGCACCTTTCCTTCCATTAACTCATTCCAACAGTCAAGATAGAGAGCAACATTTTCATTTACCAGTGTGGCGCAGAGAGGTGCAGGAGATAAGGAGAAGGGAACCTATGATGGGAAGGGCTTTGAAACATTTATTTAAAACAAGCAACTGAGAGATATTATAGATTATTAAACAAGGATGGAGTTGTAGGATGAATTAAAATGAGGAAAAGCTGGTGACAGTAAGACCAGCCAAAATGGTATTACCTTATTCCAGGGATGAGGAAATGTGAGCATGGATGACTAGAATTAATGGAGAAAGAGAAAAGGAAAGTCTCAAGGCTTTCCATTATATCACATTCTGCTCCTTCTCATCCCTACTGACTTCCTGCTCAGTTCCTCTCACTACATTCACTGAGGCGTGTCCTCCCCCATTACCCATGATGACATCCACATTCATGAGAACTAAGCATCATAGCTTCACATGTCTTCACCTCAACTTCAAAGACCATTCTCCACCCCATGCCAGCCACTCACATTCATGACCACACCCTACACCTTGTTATTATCTGGACTGCTTTACCTCTGAATGGTTTAGTAACTTTCATTATGGGCTTTCTTACTATATAAGTAATGTAAACTAATTGAAGACAAATAAGAGTAGATGAACAAAATGGAAACAAAAAAAAAGTACCCATGATTCCTGATCACATTTTGGCATATACACTTCCAGCCACCTCTTTGTGTATGTACATGTGCATGTGTGCATTTTCTTTAACTCCATCTATCCACTCTTGTAAGTTAATGGTCTCCCTTCTTTAATAACAATCTTCTGTCCTTCAACTCTCCTCACTCTTTTTGGCCCCTTCATTTCCTTGCAACCATCAAGCTCTTCTTTAAGAACTGCCTTAGACTTGATAGCTCATCATTTCAACCATTCTCCTGTTTATACCCTCAAGCTTTCTCTGCTTTTTTGTCTCTTCTCAGCAACTAACTGGCAAAAGCCTAACATTGGATCAGCCCAATTACCCATCTTCTTGTCTGGCTGTTCTTGCTTCCACCTTTCCTAATACAAATGAAAAACAAAACAAACCAACCATTTCTCAACTCTTCACCACCTGCCAGTGGAGCTATTTAGCCTGGGTTCAAATCCCAGCTCTGCCATTTACTAGCTGTGAGAACTTGGCTAAATCACTCAACTTCTCTGTACCTTAGTTTCCTTATCTGTAAAATGAAGAATAGTAGTACCTACAGGGTTGATTAAGGAGCTCTGGTGGTGCAGTGGTTATGGTTTTTAGCTGCTAACCAAAAGGTCAGTAGTTTGAACCCACCAGCCTCTCCATGGAAGAAAGATGAGGCAGTTTGCTTCTATAAAGATTTATAGCCTTGGAAACCCAATGGGGGTTGCTATGAGTTAGAATTGACTGATGGCAATGACTTTGGTTTTGGTTTATAGGGTTGATTGGAGGATTGGTTAATATATGCAAACTGCTTAAAACAGTGCCTAGCAAATAGCAGGGCTACATAAGTATTAGATTTCCTTTACTGCTAGATTTCCCAAAAAAGCTGTACATAATCATTGTCACTACTTCTTACCCTACCATTCATTTTTTTTTTTTTTTTAAATTGTGATTTGGGTGAAGATTTACAAAGCAAATTCACTTTCCATACAGCAGTTCACATACACTTTGTCTCAAGACATTGACCACAGTTTACCACAATGCAACAGCTCCCCTTCCACTTCCTCCCCATAGCTACCTCTTCCCTGTGTCCATCCCTCCATGGACTACTGCTCACTGAGCTGTCTCCCTGTGCATAAGCAGCCCTTCTTTTCCCCATGATTGTTCTCTCCAAGGAGAGTATCTACCTGAGGTAAATGTTCAACTCATATGCCTGTCTTTTGTCTGGCTGGAAACCACAGGTGTGGGTTCAATTCCAGACCTGAAGGGCAGTTAGGAGCCATAGTCTCAGTGGTTCTACCAGGCTCCATCGGACCAGCAAACTGGTCCCTCCCCCTTTTATTCCCTCCAAATGATTGTGAGTTTTGTTCCACATTGTTCTCCCTCTCTATCACGGTTCTCCTACATAGATCCCCTTCCAAGTGGATGACCGTGGTAGCTGGGCACCATCTAGTTCTTCTGGTCTCATAGTCGTATAGGCTGCAGATTGGATGGTGTGCCAGTCGCTAGGACTAATTGTTTCCATGAATTTTAGTTTTCCTCATTCTTCTTTGCTCTGGATGAGGAGAGACCCATCGTTGCATCTAGATGACAGCTTGCTAGCTTTTAAGATCTCAGTCGCTACTCGCCAAAGTAGGAGGAGGTGGAACAATGTTTTGTATGTTATGCCAATTGAGCTTGATGTCCTCAGCTACTATGGTCCCAAGCCCACAGGTTCAACTACTCAGTCCCTCTGGGTAGCTGGCTGTGACCAAGCAGTGACCACAATCTTGGCCCCTGTCGGCTCTACTATATACCTGGGAATTCTGATCATTCACATAAACTTATAGGACCATTGTCTGCCAACCCTATATATGTTCTTGGATACACTCCCCATTTCATAGACATACCTAATCATTCTGGTAGCATAGTGGCTAAGGCACTTGACTGCTAACCAGAAGGCACTGCAAACCCACCAGCCACTCCCCGGAAGGAAGATGGAGCAATCTACTTCCGTAGTGATACTGCCTTGGAAACCTGAGAAGGGGTCTCTATGAGTCGGGTCTGACTCGACGGCACATAACAACAACAACCTAATCATTCAGCCTATCCACACATCTATCCTCCCATATACCCATGTTTGCCTTCACTGACAACGCAGTACTGTATGTGCAAAAGGGTTCATATTTGTTGTCTGTACCTCCCATGTACCTCTGTCTGTCTTTCTCATCCTCAATGGTGCCATACTAGTCACTCACATTTGGTACGTTGCCCTTCTCTTCACCCAATCAATACTTATCTCTATCTATCTAACAGCGTTCCCCCACCCCCCCCCCCCGGTAACCCAACAAAGAAAATTTCCTTCTATAGATAAACCTTTCCTTAACTTTTACAATAACGGACTAATACAATATTGGCCCTTTTGTGATTGACTTATTTCACTCAGCATAATGTCCTCCAAGTTCATCCATGTTATGCAGTGTTTTGCAGATTCTACATTATTCTTTAGCATTGCATAGTATTCCATTGTGTGTATGTACCATAGTTTGGTTATCCATTCCTCAGTTGATGGACATTTAGGTTGCTTCCATCTTTTGGCTATTGTAAATAGCGCTGCGATGAACATGGGTGTGCATATATCTGTTCTTGTCATGGCTCTCACTTCTCTAGGGTATATACCTAGTAATGGAATGGCTGGGTCAAATGGTATTTCTAATTCCAGCTTTTGAAGGAATCGCCATACTGCTTTCCACAATGGATGTACCATTTTACAGTCCCACCAGCAGTGTATGAGAGTCCCAATCTCTCCACAACTTCGCCAGCATTTGTTATTTTCTGTCTTGTTGAACTTTGCTACTAGCGTTGGAGCAAGATGGTATCTCATTGTTGTTTTGATTTGCATCTCTCTAATAGCTAATGATCGTGAGCATTTCTTCATATGTTTGTTGGCCGCTTGAATATCCTCCTTGGTGAAGTGTCTATTCATGTCTTCTGCCCATTTTTTAATTGGATTGTTTTTCTTTTTGTTATTGAGATGTTGAAGTGTTCTATAAATTCTAGAGATAAGTCCCTTGTCAGATATGTTATTACCAAATATTTTTTCCCAATCTGTAGGTTCTCTTTTGACTGTTTTGGAGAAGTCTTTGGAAGCAATAAAAATTTAATTTTTAGAA